GCATCTCGTAGAACTTGGATAAGTTACTTAGCTGCCTCAGTTTCCTCATACATGAAATGAAGATAAAGATGTAGTTACTTCCTAAGGGTGTGAGGAGAATCAAATTCCACAGCGGAGCATTTGAAATAATGCTTGACATAGAGAATTCAACAGAAGTTTTAGAATTATTATTGCTCTTAAATACTTGTGACTAAAGTATCATCTTACGCCACATAATTGCTAAAATTACACAGAGGATGAAGTACTTTTGACTAATGAAACATTTTTGTTTCTTAGTATGAGATTTGTAAGTTAAAAATAGTATTCAAGACATATCAGTCAAAATAAATTTTAGGGCCTGGCGGCGTGGCGTAGCGGCTGAAATCCTCGCCTTGCATGCACCGGGGTCTCATATGGGTGCTGGTTCTAATCCCAACAGCTCCACTTCCCATCCTGCTCACTGCCTGTGGCCTGGGAAAGAGTCTTGGACGGCCCAAAGCCTTGGGATCCTGCACCTGTGTGGGAGACCCGGAAGAGCTCCTTGCTCCTGGCTTTAGATTGGCCCAGCACCGGCCTTTGTTCACTTGAGGAGTGAGTCATTGGATGAAAGATCTTCCTCTCTGTCTCTCCTCCTCTCTGTATAACTGACTTTGCAATAAAAATAAATAAATCTTTAAAAAATAAATTTTATACAACATCATTTTATAGTTTACTTTCTCTCTTTTTATACATTTCAGGATTCAACATCCACCTGTTACTTTTCATTTTTTTTTTTTTTAGGAAATACTAGGAGACAACTGTGTCCTTTTTTGAGTGTAGCATAGGGGAGGGGAAAAACAGAGGGAGGAAGGAGAGGTGGAAGAAATGAATCCCTTTGTCTGTATTATGGAAATTAACAAATAGAAAAAGAAAAAATAATAGCAAAAAAGGTAGGCATTTGGCCTACTGGCTAGGATGCCAATTAATACACCCGCGTCCCATTTGGAAGTGCCTGGGCTCCATACCCATCTTGCCCTTGATTCCAGCTTCATGCTAGTGAAGCCCTCGGGGGTCAGTAGTGTTGGTTCAAACGGTTCCTTCCAGTCACACAGTGAACTACACTGAATCCCTGTCTCCTGGCTTCAGCCCCTATCCTGCAGCTATTACAAGCAGCTGGGAGATGAGCCAGTGGATGGAAACTCTGGGTCTCTATATCTGTCTTTCTTCTTCTCACAAAAATTACAGCAAAGAATAAAAACATAGCAAGTTAGTAACTTCCTGTGAGAGTCATTAAATTATTAAAAAAAATGTTATCTACAAAAAGGTATGAGACTTGGCAGAGATTCTTAAACTTTGTAGATCACCTATAAATTTCTTTTGTTTTCGCATAATATTTTTCATTTTCCAGACTATTATCTTCCAAATCTTAGTTGTTAACTTAAAGGTTGATCTTAGTTTCCATTATTCTTTGTTCTACTCTTCCACTCTCCTTGCGTAGGCTAACAGGAAGTGAAATGCCTAAAATATCTAAGGAAAAGAGGGAAGTACAAGAGTACCAGAAATGAATGAGGAAGCAGACCCGGGATAATTGGAGCTGGCTGTAGTATTATATTTATTTTCCTTGTGTATGAAGTGGATTTTAGGAATACTTAAAACCTGGGGAGGCACTATAAATAAAAATTAATGTACATTTATTTGATGGCTATGTCCATCTGTGAAGAAGCATATCCAATTTCTCAAGACCTCAAATCAAGCCAAATCAGAGGTGAAGAATCTGGGCTATTAGGTTAAATGAGTCAGGAGCCACCCTGTGCTGCAAGTGGGCAGGTGGAAATAAAAGGAAACCTACTTGAACAGAATGGCAATTGGTTCTCTCATCATTTGGGGAACTCAGAATCAACTGAGATGTGCACCAACCTGGGAAAAGCAATTCCTTTCTAATTAAGCAGAATTAGCACTTGTCTGAAATGTTAGTGAAAGCCGGTGACAGCAGACCTTCTCAGTCTGTGGCCTGGAGGAGGTTAGGACTTCTGTCTTTATCTCTGAGGTCTCTTTGAACTATTTGCAGATACCAAAAACACTGCAATGGATAGTGCCAACTCTCAGTGAGTTGAAAAACCAGTTGCCCCTGGCCAAATAGTACAACTGGCATTCATTTTCCATATCAGGAACCCAGATTCTATTAAGTTTACATCTATATCTGCTCAGTCAGCTGTAAGAATCTCACAGCATGGAGTTGGAGAATTTTTGAATTCCATACTGGAAGAATATGAACCCCCTGTAACATATAATATGTCCAATTTCCAAGACAGTGTGACCTGCAGCATGGGTGGGCAAAGAGCCCTGTCACAGACTGAATTGTGTCCCTCCAAAATTCATACATTAAAAGAGCTAGCTCTTAGTCCTCTGAACGTAACTGAATTCATAAACAGTGTTTTTAAAGAGGTAAATAGCTTAAACATGGAGTTTTTAGGGTGGGCTCTGATTCAGTGTGATGGCATCATCAGAGAAAACCTGGAGCTCACACAGTGCACTAGAGTAAAGCCACACTTACATACTACGTGAGCACTGACTCAAGAGAGGGTACTCTACTTGTGACCCAGCCCCCTAATGATGCTGCTAGGAAGGCAGTGCAAAATACTCCTGGCTTGGCCTAGCCTGGGCCACTGCAGCCATTTAGAGAGTGAAGCAACATCTGAAAGATCATCTCTCTTTCTCTCTCTTTCTGTAACTTGGCGTTTCCAAAAAAAAAAAAAAAAATCTTTTTTTTTCCTTGTGTATGAAGTGGATTTTAGGAATACTTAAAACCTGGGGAGGCACTATAAATAAAAATTAATGTACATTTATTTGATGGCTATGTCCATCTGTGAAGAAGCATATCCAATTTCTCAAGACCTCAAATCAAGCCAAATCAGAGGTGAAAAATCTTTTTTTTTTTTTTTTAAGAAGTAGAAATCTGGACACAGGTTGGAATGGAAGAAAGCCTCTGTGGAGACACAGGGAGAAGGTAGCCTACAGGCCAAGAAGAGAATGTTCGGAAGGATGCAACCCTGCTGATCTTGGACCTTTGGCTTCCAGATTGTATGGAAAGAAATTTGTTATTTAAGCATTCCAGCCTGTGGTGTTTTGTTATGGCAATGACATGCAGCTAATACAAACTCTGGTTGTAGGAGAAGCTGTTAAACCTTATGAGACCATCTAGGTCTGTCTGCAATGAAGGCTGGTTCCCATGGTTAAGATGAAGTGCTCCGTTCAGTAATTTCTCAGAGGAAATCAGTCTGAGAAGCAAGGTGTGCACCACTTAGTGCAGAGGCCCCTGGAGTAGTGAGAGCAAAGAGGGTAGCACATGGCAGGAAGGATCACCCCCCTCTGCTTTACCACAAAAGCCATCTATATAGTTCATTGTAGAAATATTAGAAAATATTCACATAGATGAGGAAAATGAAGAAGCAAAATGTAATTGTGGTCTTACCATGTGGAAGAAACTGTGCATATACCTTGCGGAAAATCTTTCCCAACTTTTCCCAAGAGACACATGGATTGATTTTTTGTGATTATCTTCTCCTGTCAGTAATTTTAAACTTACTTACAGTGTTATTTCTATGGTCTCGTATTGCTTTATGACATTAATGATAATCCAGGAATGGAATTGGTGGGTGAAATGTGACCAGGCTTAGGCACATGTAAAGACTTTTTGTTCTATGTTGTCCTCTGGAAGAGACATACACATTTACAAGTACATTTAGTGAGACTATTTTAAGTGTAAAATAAAACCCTGCCAGTAGTTAATCTAGACTTGGTATTTAGCCTTGCTCAGTTGAATTATTATGGGGGAAAGTATAGAAACCAGAGGACACCTTAAATCAGTGCCACCAGTGGCTCAGGACACTGCAAGTAGCTTGTTGGTGGAGCATGTAGAGCTGGGGTACAGACATCTCCTGCCTTAGCAGAGTGATTGCTGAGGGGGAAACACGAAGAACCTGTTTTACAGCTGAGATGGGAGCTGCATGCATTGCCAGGAGGGACCACACTGAGTCAACAACTCCAGGCCTACTTGGACAGCATGGACCCACACGACTACGGAGAATAAACTGTGAAAAGGGACCTTGCATTGCTCTTGAGAGTGGAAGAGCTATCTCTAAGGATCTCTGAGTAAGCTGGTGGGGACTTGGTGCTGAGGCTCTGGGTCTTTAGTGCAGTCTGAAATCACTGTGCCTATGACCTTGGGTTGTTCATTTTATCCCTTGGGCTTTCAGGGCCTGGGAACAGATGGGTTATTCTAGAGAAGGAGAACGGAAGGACTTGATAGCCTTTGCAGTTTTCATGCCTTAATGGAAGAGGCTATTTGATTTTGGTTCCTTGCCTGGTATAATAGCTCCCAGGGGGCATACTTAAAAGGAATGCCAAGCTAATCTTAAATGAAAAATAAAATGTTTTCTTTTATAAACATGAAAATTATGTGGCACTCAATAAAGTGTGTTGGCAAGAACACTTCTGCTATATAATCTTATACATAAAATAGGTTAAATCCTCTTGGGAGAAGAACTTGAATTTCACTTATCATGGGGAGACTTCGAAGGAAATTTCGGCAGGACTCTCTAGGAAAGACAAGCAGTGGTGTGATTTCAAGGCGGATGGAGCATGTGGGAACAGGAAAAGGCAATTCATCACTGACCATTGAAGCCTTCGGATGGTGTCTGAGATAGTCACAGAGAACCTGGCTGCGCTTGTATGACAATACACATCAGTAGCCATATTGATTTTGACACAGACCTCATCTGAGAAATAAATATGCTGTAGGTGTGAGCGAGAAATTTATTACATTTGTTTGTCTTCCCTGAAATGTAGATTTAACAGCTAACATTGCTTCCAGAAGCATGTTCTGTGCCTCCTCTCAAGGCAATGGATAGATTGCCAAGGAAACAATCCTTTCTCTGGCACAGCTCTCATCAGTCTTCAAGTAGTGACATAGATAATTAATTCCTTCACAGTCTCACTACAGCCTACTACATTTAAAATGGTTATGGAAAAACAGGGCTTACCGTCTATCACTGGCTTTGGCTGAGAACTTTTGATGCGCAGTGAGGGCCGGAAACGGGTGCGGTCATTGAAGCTCCAGCTCTTCTGCACCTTGGTGGGGCTGCCCTCCGCTGTGATGTCGGTGCTTGGGGACCTCCTGTCACCTACTGAAGCTTGTCTGCTCTTAATACTCTGGCCCCTTGGGCTAGCCATGCGCACTCGTTCCTTAAAACTTAGCTTCTGACTGTGGAGAACAGAGGCATGATTAATCCATTTCAAGCAATTTCTTGCATTCCACTAGGATAAATAAGTTGATAAAACTGTATATGGTCACATGTTTCAAAAGACAAAATGTTTTCAGCAAGTAGGAGTATAGCAATGTAATTTGACCTTAATGAAAATTCGAGCTTTAATTTCTATGTTTGCATTCATTTGAGATAAGTTTCATTCTACGTGTATACACACCCTCCTTGGTTTTTATCACAGAAAATATTGAGACCAAGTGCAGCAGTTTATACACAATTAAGTAGGCAATACAAAGAACTGGTTTGAAATTCACATTGAAAAACTAATGGATGATTTTTAACTTTAACCTCAACTTTCCAGATTCTTTTTTTAACTTTTTCCATTTTTCAAATTATATTTTTGACAATCTTTACATAATTAGGTAAAAAGGTTCAAGGGCCAGATTCTTTTTTCAAGGTACTTTTTTTTTTTTAAACTTGGGAGTGTATCTCTTCGTAATTTTTAAACATTTCTACAGGAAAATAGGGATGACAGTTACATATATATCTACATTCAACATGCATTTTGTACTTCAGGCAAGATTATGATATCAACAAATTCATGCAATCTCATAGCAGTTGCTAGCACTGCATATATATTAAACATATAACACACAACACTATATTTCTTTTATGCTTACATTCACTTTTGCGAGACTAAATCACACAAGGTAGAATGGCTCCAACATACAATGAATGTGGTGAGTGGTTAACAGAATGAGATGTCAATGTTCACTCTACAACTTCCTGATACTAAACAGGCTTTTGATTTGCTGTGGCAGCTACTGGCAAACTATATTTGTTTAGACCTTCGGCTCTTTGATGTTGGCTAGGATTAAGTAGTTGCGGGCTGATAAAGAAAGCATGAGCAAGCACCACAAAATCCAAAGTGTGCCTTTACACTTTGCCAATCAGAGGATGTGGTGTTGACAAGCTGGGGAAGGGAAGACAGGAATAAAACAGACATGGCTTTCATGAGCCTCATCTCCAACACAGGCACAAAGATAGCCACACAGCTAAGAAACTTTTGTGGGAATCAAACGAATCTTCAGAAACTTTGTAGCCACTATTAGCCTTCTTTCGTTTATAAAGTACCATGCTGTTCATTAGAAGCAATGTGAAAGGTCAGGACTCCGCTGGGCCTGAAGAAACCAGGGGGCAATGAGTCCAGGTGGAGTCCCTTGCAGCAGTTACTCTGGGTCATGCTAAAGCCTTTGTGGGGGTGAAGTCAGTGTACTAATGGATAAGGATTATCTGAGATGAAGTGGAGGCTTCGCCTTTTCCACTTACCGCAGTGTCCACTGTCCCCAACTGCAGCATGCCAACAGCAAATGTGTTTAGTGCGTATGTGTTTTGTAGCTAACAAGAGACAGTAACATTTATTTTTCCATGCCTAGTTGCTTAACAAATGACATTCTAAAAAGGCACCACACTTTGTGTTTACATGAAAACAAAAATAAACATGAACTATGGTGGTCAGAGTGCTGGTAACAATGAATGAGTTGGCCATGCAACTGACAGCTCCCTTTGTGGAATGCAGTCACAGCTCCATACGGCATGACTAGCTGAAGGCACATGCAAAGATCAGGTGGGGCCGTTTTGTGATGAGGTCAAGGGGTGCAAGATTTCTTCATAGCAGTTCCATCAGTTGATAGATTTATTTGTACTTGACAAATGCATGATTAAATGATAGATTATTTTAAACAAGCATAATAAAAACATCATAAAACAGCATAGGTTCCCCAATGTCATCAAAAGCCTTCACTTATAAAAAAAAATAAATCAAAGAGATAGTGCCTAAAATAGCCACTTTTCTTAAGCCTTTTTTTAACTGTAAAAGTTTCAAATTTCATTTTGGATTTGATACCTCTATTTCATTTATGATGATCTAGTTCAGTATACATATACTTACTTCTGTACCTTTATTCAGTTTAACCAATGACTCAAGTTGACACAGCCATCATTGCAAGCATCCTCACTAAACCTTATCTTATCTATTGTATTTCCTAGAAATAATAGATGCTAATTAGCATAGATGGTTGGGTTTATTAACTATCACATTATTTTCCCAAATTTCTAAAATATGTCTTTCTAATGCCAACTAAATAAGTGGGAAACTGACAAAAGCATCATAAATATGAACCATTTAATATGAACTTCATTGTTCCTTTCATAGGTTTCAGTAAAAAAATATCAAAAATTAAACTATCAGCATCAAATTTACCATGGTTTATTAACAGTAGCAAAATGTTTAAAAATTGCTTCTGTAATAAGATTTTAAAAAGTGCCCTATGAAATACTGGACAATGCTTCTGAATGAATGGAAACCAAGGATAATATTCTCTGCGTTTCAATATTACTTGAAGCACTTAAAACTTGATATAAATAAATTCTAGATACCATTTCTCCTTTGTTTTAGAGTATGTGACTATTTGCTAATACCTAATATTTAGAAAACGAACAAGAGTCATTTAAAAAGAGACTCTGCACAAGATCCAAAACTATGTTATGTTTTCACTTTAAATTCTATAAAAGTTAGGAATATGATCTTAAGAAAGAACTTCTTAACACTAGGCAAATTTTTTTTTCCAAACCAAAGATCTGTTTTTGCACCTTTTATAAAAAGATCTTTTTTGTTGTGGTTGTTGCTGTTGAAATTTTTCTACTTCCTTTTGCCTTTGGAAATCCATTTGATTGAATGAGTATCAGATTCTGCGGCTGTTACTGAAAACACATTGATTAAAGATACAGACTTTCATTGGTATATTTTTCATTATTTCCATGCTTTTGGTCATATCTACACACAGGATTTTTGAGGAAGATTTATGTAACACGATTTTCATGAAGAATGTCAAGAATTATGCCCAGGAGATCAAACAATGAGATGCCTCTTCAAAGAAAGCAGATAAGGTGGCTGTGGCCACTGGTTGAAACATCCTTTTTAACCTGCAGGCTCATGTTCTTAGCAGAGGACCATGCTCAGCCTCTGGGAAGGGAATTCTTCTTTCTCTAAAAGCACTTGCACAAAGTATTCAGATGGCCCAGCATGCAGTCTACTACTGAACACTCCATGCCAGGCAACTGTGAGGCACATAACCCCACAGTAATCCTCTAGGATTTAGAAGGCCACAGCTATTGTTATATTTAATTAGGATTTTAGCTCTTCATAGGACAAGCACTCTGCAAATTCTCGCCTCAGTATGGCAACCAAGCCCGAACAATCCAGTGCGTGCAGCAGCTCAGCAGTTGTCCAACCACGAGGAGGCACCAGGGGGCCGACTGCCAATACTCCACAGGCCCTGGCCTGTTTGTCCTGGTGGTGGATAGTTATCAAAGCAGGCAACAGGCAATAAAGGTAAATGACAAGCAGGTTGGAAACCTCATTCAAGAAGTCCCTAGGAAGAGTGAGTCTCTGAACAGGGCTCAGGTGGGGTGGCGGTGTAACCTGGTCATGCACCTGAGGTTAGTTGGCATTCTCAAATCTCATGTCAATAGCCGGGATGCTGGGTACCTCTGCTTCCTTGAGGTGTACATTCTGAAGAGCTTCTGCTTATTACTACAGAACTTACTAGGAGTGAGGGAAATAGAGCAGCACATTACTAAGCATTTCACCACCAGGAAAGTGCTGAGGGATTCTGTTCTCTCTTAAAAAAAAAAAAAGCCATTTGGCTTTATTGTTTTTCATACCTAACTACATGGACTACTTAAGTAGTGAGTATTAACTGTGCTGCTTGAAATATATCCAGTGTCTTAATGACTAGATTGAAGTAATTAAGTTTGAACTAGACATTACCAATGATTGTAGTCTACGTGTTAGCATCTGTTTCACAGGAAAATGGGCTATAAATATTTTAGATTACATCAACTCCTGTAATAAATATCAATAAAACATGTTGTGAATGAGGAATAAAATTTTTCAAACCTTTCAAGAATGAATACTGCATCAACTAAGTAAATAATAATTGCTTTGAAGTTCAAGAAATAAGTTTTTGCTTTGTTTAAAACATCTACAAGCTATGATTGATACAGGCAATCCATTGTCAGAAAACATGTTCAAATAATAAAAAACAGAAGATGATCTCTATGTTGCTAGCATGTAAACAGGATTTTAAAATCATTTTTGTTATTTAAGTTCATGAGGTATTTAAGTGCTCTGTCAATAAAGGTGAACGAACTAGACACCATTTTGTAAAGACTGCTTATGAAATACATTAACATTTTGCCAATAACAATGCAAGTTTAGAATTTTGCAACAGAGATAAATTCCAGTCTCACTAACTTGAACACCACATTTGACCATTCATTGTGCACAGAAGAAGGAACAGGAAATGATGGAAGAACAGAAGCACGGAGTCTCTTCCATTCGTGTTCTAATTTTCTCTACCTTGAGTCACACACTGCCGCAAGATCCAGTGAAACTTACATGTAGGCATGGTCCAGACAAAGCACCCAATTTTAACATCATGACGGGATATCACCTACGCCTGAACTTGTAAAGCATGAGTCTTTATAACAGTGTCCTAAGTACCTGTTAAATTAATGTTAGATGGTTTACTATCTAAAAATGTGTGAGAGTATTCTACTAGTACTGCTTAGCAATGAAGCAGGTATGTGATTCACATTCCTGCTGATTAAGAATTTAGGGTAAGCAGTGGCAGTGAGATTTATGGATAATCCCCAGACCTTAGATGATATGATTTGCTCTCATAACCACAGAAACTTAGAAGAAGGTAAAAGCTTTCTCGTATCTCACTGAGGAACTATTTGATGATCTGGTCAAGGAGGAAGAAAGGAGGATGACAAATGACCCAAAAGTGAGAATATTGAACTAATCTGGACAAGTGGGTTCAGAGGTAAATTTCAATCCCTGAAAATGATAATTTACAGCAAATCAGAGGAAAAATGTTCAACTTTAAATATGAATTGGAAACATTATTTAGTCAAATGGTTAATAAAATAGACACATGTACCCCCACAATGTGAGATAAGGGCAGTTTTATTGGGAAGACAGAAGAAAGAAATGAGCAACTAAGTGATATAAAGAAATTATATTTATGGTATAAGTAGGGTAAGAACAGAGCAGGTCCAGTGAGGCTAATGGTAATTTGTATCTGACCCTATACAGAGAGCCTAAGGAATATTTTTTTCTACCATTGCTTAATGAAATTATATTAAAAAGTTATTTCTGAGACTGATCATTTGTTTTTTTTAGAAACACTTCTCAATCTGTCACAAACAATATATTTTTCCTTAGTCCAAGACATAATGGGTGAATTTTCTGTAAACATAGCCTAACCTCAGTATAGAAAGACAGAATCTCTTTCAACAAGAACATTCCAAAGCAGGAACATGGTTATTAAATGGTTGACCTCTGTAGAGAAAAGCGTCTCTGTGTACAGCCCAGTCTCCTCTCTCAGGGGAGCACCAGGCATTCCAGAAGGGTGTTGGCTGCTGTATTGGACTCATCTACACTTGAAGTACCTGCAGTTTTTGGCACACAGGAGGAACATGAGTAAGGACTCGGAATTTTCTGTTCAGCAAGATAGCTGAAACTTTGGCTCCTACCTGGGCTCAGGCATGTTTAGTCTGCTTATCCAAATGACCATCAATAACCGTATGGCCCCAGAGGCAGTAAATGACTGTGATTGGGCATTGTCGCTTGTTTATTTGAAATGGGGTCAAGCAGTAATTAACCATATTCCAGACCCAGAGCTGAACTTTTCTAAGAAAGAACTCTGTTATAAATGCATTTTGCTTCGTGTATACTTGGCTTGGGTAAGGGCAAAGGTGTTATTAGAATATGGTGCAGTTGTCATTGCTACCACAATGGTCTCACTGCATTCATTATGTAGTATTATAAATTCCTTTGCCTGTGGAGCACAGTAAGATGAATGCTAAGGTAATGTTAAAGGAGGACTTCAAAATGTACATTTTTAATGTGTCAAGAAAAATTTTTGAATGGGAACTTTAGTTTATTTCCTTGAGATTATTGCAATGTCTTACATTGCCTCTTTTTTGAATCTTTCTTTTTCCTTTAATATTGGTTTCTTAGCTTTTCATATAAACTATCTGAGGTCAGGGACATTCTTTTGCTCTCTTCATGAACACATCTTCTGCCATAGGTTTACAAAGGGAGATGTGACAGATAATTGTGGGGGACAAGATCCTTAATTGTAAGAATCGTAAGGCAAGAATTAAAAAATCGGGGTGAAGCAACAGTACTTATTTCAGGTAATTTTTCCTAAATGTGCAAAGACCACAGAGAAGCAAGAACTTTCTGTGTGTGATTCTCTAGGTTATTAATTCAGTTCAACAATTCTGTCTATTCAAACGTATGAGTGAGTTATCTTGACAACTTCTATCACAACATGTAGAACAGATGTAAATGTTTTATACAAAAGTGAACATGATGAAATTTCAAGAACTCGAATGGTGGTCTTCTGGAATTGTGTCAGCTTCCCGGGAGGTTTATTTTTTGCACTTGAGGTAGGAGCTCCAACAGTGACAGTTTTACTCTCTTTTTGTCTTGTGACACAATAACATAAAGAAAATATAGTCTTACTGCATTCTTTTGAAGTAACTCTTCAATTAGGATAGCTATAGAGAGCATGCTTATTCAAGCAGCTCTATATTCATGGATTACAAACTTCTTTTTTTTTTTGCATGTCAATAGCTCCATTTGGGAGGGTGAAACCAAGACAGGTAATCTACTCTCAAAGAGATCTAAATTTCATGCCCATGATGGTCTCTGTTCTTCACATCTAGAAACAAATTATCCTTGAGATAAGTTGTAAATGGATAGCTCCTGAGACAAGAAAACCTTTTAAAACATCACCAGAGACTAAGACATAGTTTTTAAGTGCTGATATATTTTCTGTAGCTTTTTTTCAAGTGAAGTTATCACAACAGAAGAATGGTGAGTTCTGCATGAAATCTGACAAAAGGACCACACAATTAGAACAAGTCAGTCTATTTTTTCTGGTGTGTACACAAAAACTGTAAAGAGTTCAACAGTGAAAATCTCTGGCCAGGAATCTATCTAAAGTGGAGAAAAGCAACTTTTTAGGCAATCAAAATCATTTGGTGATATCACCCAGGATATCTGATGTCCTATGCTCTGACTCTAAACTACCAAATAAGAGAGGGTCTTTAATGCTATCCCATGTAAGCTTATCTTCCCAGAAGTGCTTGATGTTATATATTCCACATCTGTCATCAAAGGTTAATCCATTCCTGTTCTCGTAGGAATCTTTTAAACTGCTAATGTAATGCAGAAATGGGTAACTCAGAGCCTCATCACTCTAAGTGAACTTTACAAACTAATTTCAGCACTATAAAAACATATTCTTTGTTAAAAAAAGATCTACTTATTTTCATTGGAAAGTCAGATATACAGAGAAGGAGGAGAGACAGAGAGGAAGATCTTCTGTCCATCAATTCACTCCCCAAGTGGCCACAATGCCGGAACTACACTAATCTGAAGCTAGAAGCCTCCTCCAGGTCTCCCACGTGGGTGCAGAGAACCAAGGCTTTGGGTCATCCTCAACTGCTTTTCCAGGCCACAAGCCGGGACCTTGATGGGAAGTAGGGCTGCTGGGGTTAGAACTGGCGCCTGCAAGGGATCCCAGGTGCGTGCAAGGCAGGGACTTTAGCTGCTAGGTAACTGTGCTGGGCCCTATAAAAACATATTGTGAGGAGTGTCATGATTATAATAGCACTAAACTACAGGAAGAACCCAGGTGGATACTTCAGCTTCCTCTACTGAAACAAGGATCAAGGATAGGAAAGAAAAAACCACCGTGTCTGTCTCTTTTCGTTCGTTCGTTCCTTCCTTCCTTCCTTCCTTCCTTCCTTCCTTCCTTCCTTCCTTCCTTCCTTCCTCCCTCCCTCCCTCCCTCCCTCCCTTCCTTCCTCCCTCCCTCCCTCCCTCCCTCCCTCCCTCCCTCCTTTCCTTCCTTCCTTCCTTCCTTCCTTCCTTCCTACCTTCCTTCCTTCCTTCCTTCCTTCCTTCCTTCCTTCCTTCCTTCCTTCCTTCCTGGCATCTGTTATTCTCCTACTAGTTCTGCCTCTGACATTCCTTACACCATCAGTGCTACGTTCCACACTGGGCCTTCTCCTACCAAACTTTTTTGAAAATCCAGAACCAACCTGGCAACTCACAAACAGACTTAACATTTTTCTTCTGCCCTCTATTCTCTCTTGGTCTATCTAGCTGCCCACGATTGAGCTGACAAAGTACGTACAGAAAGCTACAAAGGAGTGTGATGCTGACCAATTAGGAATAGCTTGGGGAAGGATATCTTCTCCCTAACTTACAGAGGGGGTGGAGCCATCCCAGACAGTTTCCACCTTCTCTACACAGTATTACTCTCTCTCTCACACACAACTGTGGCATTACCTATAAAAAGGGACTCTAATACTCTAATGAAAGGAAGTGTATCCTAAACTACTGTTTGGGCACATAAAACTCAGGGAAACATTTTCTTTCACTTTCTAGATCTCTGTTTTGAATACTGTGATAAGATATCTGTCTGGAAAAATGGCAGCAAAGAATAATCAAAGATCATAATTATTTTTGTGCCCAGAATGTTTTGTGTCTTGCAGACTGTAAAAAGTAGTGAGTGAATTAGGGAAAGATGCATCTGCTCTGAAGGGAGGGATGGTTAAATCAATAAAAGCCGCAACCTTTTCAGGCAATCTTGTGAAAGGTCACTTTTAATCATTTTGTATTTGTTGATCGATCTTACTCACATGAGACACATTTAAACATCTGTTAGGCATCAGGTTTATAAACAAACGTGTAGCAAAAGAGAAATCACAAACCTGCTTGATGCTTCCCCTTGTTCTTTCCTTCAGGTGTGTGCAGACAGAAGAGAAATGATGATAAACCAGTGAATACATTTATAGGACTTGATAATGGCCAAATTGGAGATTGGCAAGGCACATACCTTAAGTAACCCTTTTCATGCAGGATCTACAAAGGCAATATTATTTATAACCAAATACAACCAACTTTCTATCATATGTTCTTTGTAGTACGTTAAGGTAGCACAAAATTTATTTGGCAAAGCTAAACACTGCCTCTATATATCCCAGATTCATGATCAGGAAAACTTATGTATGATTACGAAAGTGATTCTGATGTTACCAGCATGAACAAAGGCTCTTAGAGTATTACCAGTTACAATTCAGGTGTCATCTGTGTGATTTCTGCAGATTTCTAGGTTTCTAAATTTAGGTTCAATAACTTGAGATGTGACCTTATACTTCAGTGGCAGTTTTTTTGGGGGGGGAGTATTATATAAAGTGTGAATTCATAAGGTATGCAGAATCTCAATCACAGTACCTCTGGTCTACTGGTGGATGACATTTTTAATCACACATTTTTGCAAGTTTAGGTTTAGATGACATGGTGTAGAACCCTTACACTCAGCAAAGGAGTTCTGTGCCTGTGGGCAGACACCTTATTTTCTTGTGGGTCTTGCTTTTCTTATGAAGAAATCAAAGGCATTGGATCAGATGGTCTTTAAATTTTGAATTCTTAAGGCATCATATGCTATACTCAGAGACAGATAATTCCCTGTAGATTTGCAAAATACCTGATTCCTTTCCTAAAATAACATTTACCTGCATTTCACCCTTTGCATTGATTCTCTTTAAAAAGAAAATATAGTATTTCCCTCTATAAATCTTTGCTATTAAAACAAAACATTAAAATAGCAACTAATAAGAACTTTAATGTTTATGATGGTACTTCAAGAAGTTGATGAAAACTGCATGCTTTAAAAATTCCATTTCCAGGAACTTTTGAAGCATCCTCAGAGTAGGAGTAAACCAGACCAGAAAATATAGTTAAAAAATCATAGAGATGTACCCAGGCAGGTTTGACTGGGTAAGGCACGCCCTTTCCCTGGAATTCTTTTCCATGCACAGTTGTTTCTTAGACTTTTCTTCTTCCTTCTGCTTCGGATGAGTTTGTGGAGTCAAACCATCTATCCTTTTTTTTTTTTTAACTTGAGGGGGAGAACATGTGGATGCAGGGGTCTCAAGGACTTGAGCTATCCTCTGATGTCTTGTGGGAGCACTGGCAGGGAATTGGATAAAAAGTAGATAGGACCGAAACCAGTAGTCCAATGGGATGCTGGTGTTGTAGACAGAGGTTTAATTTGCTATGCGACAACACTGTCCCTCTCCAGCCCCACTGTATCTTCAAAACTGTGGGGAATCAGTATGGGACGGATTTTTTAAAAAAACATATTTTTATTTCGAATTTTGAATTGTGTGGTACAATTTTGTATAGGCTGGGATTCTCCCCCAAACTCCCACCCCCCATCAGGTTTTCCCCATTTTGTTACAATAGTGTAGTCCTTCATAAGGAATCATAATTCTGTCAGGGACTGATGGTTTTAATGATAATAATACCACTGATAATAATGTGATTGATAATAAGATTTAAAATTATAACCCTGATGCTTGATAAATTCCTTCTCTATTTTACTTTTCTACTTTAGTGCTTATTGACATCTTATAATTCTACCTTTGTTTATTTACATTGTTAGTATGCTCTGAATATATACTTTCTGAGGGTCTAACATTCTCCCCTCTCCCTCAGACTGTACAACCCCAGTGCCTGCAACATTACCTTGCTCACTAAACAATAATGTTCAGTGTTGATTTATTGGCTGTATAGGTATGGATGATTTTTTTCCTTCAGAAATTAATACACTTTAAATACTATTAGATATTACTATTGACATTAAATGCTATTTAAGGAATATGAAGGCACTTTAAGAAAATTATGGAAAATGGAATTAGAAAAATTTATTATGGCACAAAAATATGAAATCCATGAAGTTTTTTTCATAATTTACATTCCCATAAACATTTAAGATTGTTTATCTCCTTTGTACGTAAAAACTTTTGGCCTATTTCTCACTGTATCACTGTACACTCAGTAAGCCAGCTAATTATATATGTAAAAATATCCCTCTAAGACATGGTAAATTATTCCTACAAAATTACTAACTTGATTAAACAAAGTTTGCTTTCTAAAGCAGAGGTTCCAAACTGAGCTTCAGGGAGTCCTTGGATTCATTAAAATTATGAATTTTAACTCTTTGTGCATTCAGTATTATTCTTGGGAAAAAGCACACAATGTCCATCACATTCTCATTGACTCGTGAGGTCCAACCACAACAATTAAGAACTACTGTTGTTTGAAGGAATGAAGTATCCCTGGAAGGAGAGGAATTAGGGCATGTACATTCCTATGAACTTTACTAGTGACTGCTCTGTCATTTTGGATAGATAGCTGTTCTTCAGTAAATGAGCTGATACTGAGAGGTTAATGAGGCTGCAGGCAAAGAAGTGTGAGTGGGATGGTTGATAGGCATAGTAGAACAGGATGAAGACAGGTGTTTGCATAAGTCCTCCTCCACCTTCGCCCCCACTTAAAATGGGGAAAATATGAGAGAAAAAGACTTTATGTAGGTGCAATAATAGATGGTGCACTTGGAAGATTTGACTCATTGCTAGTTTTTCTAGGCTTCAGAATGACTTTTAGTTCTAACACTGCAACAAGAAGGAAGCCAAACAATCACACATGACAATAGACTGTTCCCTTACGTTACTGGAGAATCCTCTATGGGCTTTTAAACCTGATTCCATTGTATTTACACATCAAATCTCATGAAGAAAAGCCATACAATTTCTATGTAATTCTCATTTTTGATTCGTACTCCCAAGGAAGAGATACACAAGAGTATTTCCTTTTTTTGTTGTTTTTTAAAAATAACTTTGAAAGTTCCTACTATTTTATGAGTTTAACTAAATTTCTACTTCTAAGTGAAAAGAGGATTTTAATCCACACACTCACTCCAGAGTATTCATGCCTACATCTATGTTTTCTCTAAATCCTGTTGTATGAATATCTGTTTCAGGTGCTAAGATAGTTTAGCCACTAACCTGCAGGAGACATGTTTTGTGGGCATCATCTTGCCCAACTCTTGCTCTTTTTTTTGTGAATGCGAAAACTGAGACACAGGTTGACAGGAAAATAGTTTAAGAAATCCTGTTAGTGACTGATAGATCTGCTACTTCCCATCACTGTACATTTTATGGTTTCATGACCTCTATTAAAATGGCAATGCCAAGGAACAAATCTTGGAGATTTCTCCAATTGACATCTCTTCCAAAAATGTAAGAATTATGTGGTGTTTCCCTTGCATCTTGAATATGAGTCAGCGATTAAAATTAGGGTTTTTTTTTTTGTTTTGTTTTTCTTTTTTTTCTTGAGGGGGTTATAGCTGGTGTTTTAAAACATTAAATCAGATAAGCAAAACAACTGACTTCTAATCAAACAGGGTGACTCACAGAAAGCCTTTCTCATGACTTGCATGGGTATTTCAATGAGCACTTCTTTTTAAAGATTTATTTATTTTTATTGGAAAGTCAGATATACAGAGAGAGGAGAGGAGGAGAAACAGAGAGGAAGATTTTCTGTCCAATGGTTCACTCCTCAAGTGGCCGCAATGGCTGGAGCTGAACCAATCTGAAGCCAGGAGCCAGGAACCTCTTCTGGGTCTCCCACAAGGGTGCAGGGTCCCAAGGCTTTGGGCCATCCTTGACTGCTTTCCCAGGCCACAAGCAGGGAGCTGGATGGGAAGTGGGGCTGCCGGGATTAGAGCTGGCACTTATATGGGATCCTGGGGCGTTCAAGGCGAGGACTTTAACTGCTAGGCCATGCTGCTGGGCCTTAACATGACTTAACATGTGCTCTGTTAGTTGAACTGGGAGTCCAGGATTCTATCATTATTGGCCTTAAATATATTTAAAAATCACTATAGTAATCATTAGCACTGCTCATAATTTTTCTGGTTTTCCTGTCCTTTCAGACACATGATATAACTGCACTTTATCTTTCCCTTTGAATTTTAGGCATGGTTAGGTGATTTGTTTTGCCCAGAGAAATGTTCATGGGAATGACATTACTTTAAAATTGTCAATGCTAATTTCAAATTCTGATCTGATTTATCTCATTGTCTCATTTAAATTGTAATCTCATTAGGGCCCTGATTCTTTATTAGCTATTACAAGAGAAGGTTTAGAAACGCCAGAGTGGATTCAGATGAGAAATAATTTTGATAATTTAAATTTGCAAAGCCATATGAAGGTATGCAAAAAAGGTCATGGAAAACAGAATTGAAAAGTAAGTTTATTTATACAAAATTTGGGATCCACTCATAACTTTTCCCTAAAATCATGTTTCATTAAATTTTTGAAGATCCCTCTTATTGCTTTCAAAACTCTCTCAAAAGGTGATGAGTAGGGAATTAAAAAAATTCTTTTGAAATTTTTGAAGATTATTCATTTCCTTTGTAAGTAAAAGGATGAAATATTAGAAATAGATATAGAATAGCAGAAACAAATCTCAATAACTGTTTCCATTCCCAACAGTACTAGTTAGGAGCAGGGGAGGGAGGGAAGTGTGACCATCTTTTTTGGAATTGTACCTATGAAATACATAAAATCTATTACCTTTATATTAATATTTTTAAAAAGTATACATTATTTTAACCTTTAATCACGGTCTATGGATGGCGAGGAATGATGCTAAATCCATTAGGCATCATGCTTGGGTTTGCTATCAAACAGGTTTGACTCTCTTCAGGAGCAAAGAAGAACTGGACAAGTCAAACATCAACACGTGTGTGTGTGTGTGTGCGCATTTGTTTAATAAATTTGAAAAGACTAAACTACAGCACTAGCTGTTACACGGATACCTACTTGGTAGGGCTGCAGGTGTGCAAAGCCTTCAAGTGGGGCTTCCAGGTTGCAATGGAAACAGATTTCTCGTCAGCTGCATAGCTACGCCAAACACACTGCACGTGGCATGCATGGGTACATGGAAGAGAAAAGAGAGGAGACAGAATGAAAAGGAGGAGATGATTAAGTAACTACACATTAGGAATCTTTTCTTTGTCATACTCAGTCCTGATAAATGTCCGAAGGAGGAAGATGACTACTGTGATATTTTCAGCTGGCTGTTAAATATATCCTGTCACAATAAAAATCAATCAGAATTCCCTTTCATGGGTATCAACAAATGCACTGTAATGCCATTTCTGAATTGGTTTTGTAAAAATACTATATTATCTGGAACAAATACGAACTGCTTCAATATATTTTTGCTGAAGATATTGGTTAGGTAAACTACATGAATGTAAACAAATATTCCAAGCATTAACCTTTGTTCGCACTTTTATAAGATTGAGGACTACTGAAAATCCACCATGCAAGTCGGAAACTGACTAATAAACCAGTTACCTCCAGGCTATGTCAATGATTTAATCAGCAGGATCCCTAAAATTGAACTTTGCAATACTTCCTATGCTGAAAAGAAACAAAGAGATAACAAGAAACAGAGCTCAAACAAGATGGAGGAAAATATATTGTCTAGGAATATAAGTGGAAAGCACCTGAAGTGTGAATCCTCTGATCTAAGAATATGTATATAGCTCTTTCAAGCTGTCTACTTCATATAATTACATCTGACATACATAATATTAAGAATTTTCATATGATCTTCACAAAGTGTGCATTAAGATCCATATTTTTTAGATGAGAAAATGAATACTCAGATAAATGAAGAGTTTTATACAGAGTTGGCAGAGTTGAGATTATATCTCAAATTGCCTGGCTCTTGGTCATGGAATCTATCCACCGGGCTTTTTGCTGATGTTTGATGACTGCTGCTTGAAAAGCTTCCATCTGAACTCTTCAGTTGAGAGCGAGCCTGAACTCACTTTCCAATAGAGCACTCAGTAATTTTTTTTTTTTCCTTTGTAATGGATCGGCAAACATTTCTAATGATCAACTGTTTATTCCAATCTCCTCAGAGAAATTCTCTTATTATAATTAATTACTCAAAGCATCCTATTTTATGTGGTAAATCCATTTAAATGGATCGTATCTCTGCTATATAACCATCAGTAATGATTTTGAAGCTTACAATGAAGAAAAGTGATCTAATTACATTCCCTTTCCTGAGATTATCATTAAATAAATGTATGCCAAGTAGAAAAGTTAAAAACTCATAAACTGCTTTGAAAAATTGCCTGGAAGTATCTATTAAAGATGAACATCTACATATTCTATGATACAGCCACACATTTCCAGATATGTACTAGCAGATATGCATACATGTGTTTACCAAAAGATATAAATCCTATTTTGATTTGTTAATAAGCAGAAGCTGGAATTGCTCAGACACCTATCACCTGTAGGGACAGACCTGGGGCACACTGACATATTGGAGTGTGACATGGAAATGGTACCTGGTAATTATGCTCAACATGAAAAAAATTCATATGAATATGCTGAATGAATGGAATAAGACACAAAACATTTCTGTACAAAACCACAGGAAACTAACTTAGGATATTAGAGGGTAGCACAGTCGTTGTCCTTGTGGCACAGTGACTCAGAGACCATCCATCAGAAATCACTTTTGGTTTAATTTGACTGCCAGTTATGCAGAAGAAATCAGTTTTCTTTTGTATGTACGTTACACTTCAATATAATGTTCATCAAGTGACATAAGCAATAATAAAATGTATATTAGAACTTGAGAGATTTTAAAAAAATACTTTAAAGGCAGGTTTAAAATACTGAAGCATAATTCCTTGTCTGGAGGTTTGCTTGCATGGCTTATGCTGGTTTAGTCATAACCTATGGAACTTTGTGTTAAGGATTGTGGCATCTTCTACATAGTAAAGAATAATATCCCGAATGTCAGCTTTTATCAATATGCGTGATTTATAGAGTGATAAATGTAAGTGCATGGACTTAACATGCACTTTTGTAACAGAGATGTGGAAATTGTACAATATATGTGAGGACACACAAGAATATTTTAATTAAACAATTTCCATAGAAGGCATCCCACACACCTGAGCTTTGGTAGTTTGAAAGCGAGACCCATGTAAAATGAGAAGCATAGAGCAGGCCTGTAAGTTATTACACATCAATGGAAGACATCGAAAACAACAACAGGACTCAGGCATTACCTGACCCGTTAATGCTATGAACAGTTGGGGGTAAACTGAGGATTTTCTTTACAATAAAACCGGGCCTCCTGCTCTCTTCTCTTTCTTAGCAGAATGATTTGCATAGGTAAACTTTCATTTCCTTTATGATTGTTCCCCTACAAAGGCCTTGAATATGATGTGCAGGAGGGGCATCTGGCTCTGTCAGTTAACAGTAAAAATGGAGGTGGACAGCCTAAGGCAGCTCTTCTAACACCCTACTAAGTGTCCCAGACTTGGTGCTCTCTCCTCTCTCTACTAACTGCTTCCTGTAGATGAATTTCAAGTCTACAATCACGGTCAGATAGCTGGTGCTCCTATATTTAAAGTCAAAATGATGTAGTGGTTGGCAATAGACAAATAAGGCCCCTGAGAAATTTCTGTTACCACATGGAATATATGTTCTAATTTATATTTACTGTAATTTACATGAGATATATATTCGAAAGGACAGTTCAATAAGAAGCAAAACAAAAACCATGTTGAACATTTATCAGGCAATGTGGATGTTCTAGGCAATTAATAAAATTTAAATGTATTTAGTTAAAATATCAATATAATTAAATTTTTAGGGAGTAGTATTTATTTTGCATTGGCTGGATGGTATAACTATGATACCTGGAAATGGTTAAAAAATTTCAACTGACCATTCAAATAATTAACAGGGAACATATTTTTCAACATACATTGCTTTAAATGTTAGCATCCTGAAAGGTTTAGGATGTAAATCAGCAATCCCATTTCCCATCACTGTACATGCTAATTTTTGTTAAGTGGCAACTGCTAGGCTGCTTATGGTTGCTTTCATTTTCAATAATTCTTATATTTAAGAATAATTCTCACACTTGTTTGATAAAAAGTTTATGGAAAATAGAATTAAAGGTTAAGTTTATTTTGATGCATACCATTTTTGCAAATGGTATGTATTCAATATTGTCATAACTATTATCTAGAAAGACTATCTTATCCAATGAATGTTCTTAGCACCTCTATCAATGCAGATGTGTGGCTTTACCTCAAATGGTCTATGGGTTTTAAAAAAATTATTTATTTTTATTGGAAAGTCAGATATATAGGAAGGAAGATAGTCCCCCAAGTGGCAGCAATGGCTGGAGCAGCGCCAGTCTAAAGCCAGGAGCCTGTTCCAATGCTGATCTGAAGCCAGGAGCCTCTTCCAGGTTTCCCATGCAGGTGCAGGATCCCAAGGAATTGTGCCATCCTCTACAGCTTTCTATATTTGTATGTTTCAATACCAGGTGTGTGTGTGTATATATATAAAATATATATATATATTTAGGTGTTATTTCCTTTTGCTGTACTGAATCCTTTATCATTATATCTTGATACTCCTAATTTGATTTTGCTTTTGATTTAAAACTGATTTTATCTAATAAACGTATAGATGTTCCTGCTTTCTTTGAGTTCCAAAAAGAATTTTTAAAACTAGAATATCTTGTTCTGTCACTTTCAATGTTAGAGGTGAAAATGAGACTTTTTTTTTTCGAGTAGCACATAGTTTGGGCCTTTAAAAAATCCATTTGATCATTTTACATTTTTTAATTACAGAATTTAGTTTGTGAAAATTTAAGGTAATTATTGACAAGCAAGATCTTATCACTGTTATTTTGATCCTTGTTTTGTATTTTTTTTTATCGTAGTTGTTTTCATTTTTTTTTTCAGATACTTATTGTATTTTTGTTGGAAAGATAGATTTACAGAGAAGGAGAGACAGAGAAAGATCTTCATTTACTGGTTCACTCCCCAAATGACCACAAAGGCAAGATCTGAGCCGATCCAAAGCCAGGAGCCAGGAGCCAGAAGCTTCTTCTGAGTCTCCCTTGCTGGTACAGGAGCCCAGGGCCTTGAGCATTCTCTGCTGCCTTCCCAGGCCTAAGTAGGGAGCTGGATGGGAAGCAGAGCAGCCAGGATGAGAACTGGTGCTCAAGTGGGATGCAAGTGCTTGTAGGCAGAGGATTAGTCAAATAAGCCATCGCACAGGCCCCAGCACCCTTCTTTTGTTGTTTTGAAGTTGCCATGGTTAATTGGCTTTCTTCTAGAGATGTGTTTTGGTTCCTTGCTTATTAATTTTGACAATTCTAAATAGATTTTTGCTTTGTGGTTGCCTGTAAGCTTACAAATACTTTTTTGACTGTAACAGGTTATCTTGATTATAAAAATAGGAAAAAAGTGAAAGAAAAACAGACAAAACAAATGCTAGTAAACCACTCTATGTTTGTATTCCTTCCTTCCCCCAATTTTGGATTTTTTTTTTAATTGCAACATCAGATATATAGAGAGGTAGAGAGACAGAGAGAAGATCTTCCGTCCGATGATTCACTCCCCAAATGACTGCAACGGCAGGAGCTGAGCCAATCCGAAGCCAGGAGCCAGGAACTTCTTCCAGGTCTCCCATGCGGGTGCAGGGTCCCAAGGCTTTGGGCAATCCTCAACTGCTTTCTCAAGCCATGAGCAGGGAGCAGGATAGGAAGTGGAGCTGCTGGGATTAGAATCAACGTCCATATGGGATCCCGGGGCGTGTGCAAGGTGAGGACTTTAGTTGCTAGATCACCGTGCCGGGGCCCCAATTTTGGATTTTTTGATGTTACATATGATTTCTTTCCCTAGTGTCTGTTTCCTAACAGTTTAGTGCAGGAATTATAATTTTAGTCTTTGAAATAAGATATGAATGATTATACTTTGTATTTGTAAAATTAGAGCATTCTTCATTTGTTGGCATGATTACTCCAACCAGCACATTTTCTACCTACTGACATTTCCTTATTTGGCTCCAAATT